AATGTTATGATCCTGTAACCCCCTCTGGGACTTGCCAGGGGTTTCCCAACTGGGGGATTATCTCCAGCCTCTACACCTTTGTACATCCCCCAGTTAGCAATCTACACTCTCAACCTTGACCATAACAACCAGGCAATTTGGTTGATGTCACTTGTTGTCCAGTGACTATTGATTGGTGCTGGTGCTCTTGGCACCAAGGAGCTGGGCCAATAAATTGATACTAGTGGGGTTTTATGCCGGCAAAATCCCTAGTATCTCCATTGGAGATGAGTTTGGGGGAGACTGGATCTTCTGCTCAGCCTGTCACATCAAGAAAGCTAATCACACAAGACCTTTGGTTTGAAAACCAATGAGTTAGGCACAACCAGTGACTAGCACAGAGTGATCTAAATGAGAGTGTTGGATTTTCACTCAAAGACCTCAATCTTGCCGCAGCAAAACCCCTCTAGCAAGCCATGTCTCTGGCTAGGGTCAAGTTATCTCAGATTGAAACCCTAACCTTCCTGCTGTGAGAACCACTTAGGTTTCAAACTGAATCTCATCTTTTCCACGCCTCGACTCCTCCTAGTCTCTCAGTTAACTAACTCAAGACATCAAGAACCAACAACTTCTTTTATTCACTCCGCCTCAAGACTCCAAATTGAGCTCATTCACAGAAGGCTAAAATCAGGGTTATCAGTAAATTCTTTCAACTCCTCATTTAATGTATAAAAAAAACATTATACCCGACTTCTTCCTTACTCAAAATCCTGCTTCCTCTAGATGTTTGTTGATACTCTCTTCCTTTCTCTTCTCATGTCTTGTTGTGTTGATCCCTAAAAACTGAACCTTTCTATTTCTTATCTTTCATCAGATTCTCAATTTCTCCATGAAAGCTTGTTGTGTTCACATTTCTTATTTTTAAATTCCTTTCCAGTGGTATGCTCTTCTTTCTATCTGATCTCTCTCAATTTCATTCTCTTTTCTGTTATTGATGTTTTTCTTTTCTTCAGTCTGGTCCTATTTTTCTAGCAATCAACTGTTCATTCTTTAGAGAGAGAACCTGAAGCAAAACAAAAGGTGAAATAAATGAGAGCTGATAGAAAAGAGAGATGAGAACTGGGTGAAATAGACCTGTGTATGACACGAGTGGAGTGAGAGTGTCAGCTTGCTACTAGTTCAGAGACAACCTGACTAGATACAACCTATAAAAAATAAAAATAAAACAACTTATTAAAGTATATTGTGAATTATGATAAAACTTACTTAAAAGAACTTGCTATAATCAGCATTAATAAATATAGTAAAAAAGGTGCTTTTTTGAACAAATAAAATAATAAATAATAAATAACTCCTAAACCTTAAGGAAAACTTAGAATATTATTGGATATTCTGAATCTACACTAAAAATTAACT